AGTCACCTAGACTAGTGGCCACATTGCATTGGATCTGCACTAAGAAGGACTGGACACAAATGATATTGATCACCGGTTGGTGATCAATCAATTGTGACTAAAATATAGTATTACATGGTTGAGTTCTTCCTACTGAAAATGAAACAGAATCTTATATAGCAACTATTCTGTAACCAATTTCGATTGTGGTTAGTTTTGTTTAACCCCAATTTAATAACTTACTTAACAGAGAATGTTGATTGAACAGTAACAATTCGTCTCTTTCTTTGTACCGTTATAATCACTAGATCACATAATAGAATCTAGCTAAAATGTTGATCGCTTAGATATCACTGGATGATTCATTCTTCTCCCCATGTATATATGTACTCAAATCCTATTATTAAATTTTGCTTTGCCTTGCTGTGACCTTATGCGATTTGACTATAAATTTGCCTATGTAATTGCTCGCATATACATAATTACCTCTCTGCTTCAAATTCACTTGAAGTACGCAAAGCTTTGGTCTGCGCTATCTACTAATAAACTGTAGTTGCCGCTTATCATTGACTTCTGATTTGAAACACCCTTGAAATATATATAATTATGGTCACAAGGGTGATTGATTAACGAAGCAAAACTACTACACTTATCCAGACTATAAATAATTTTCACGTAGGATTTTTCAATTCAATCTAATGACGCCCGAAATTCACTTGTGTATGTCAGATCAAAGTCATTCACTGTATAGAGAAAAAATATATGATAAAACGTCTTTCCTTTTTCTTTTAAAAAAATGATCGAATTTAATTGTTATGATTTTAAAAACCCAACTACAGAGATCAAGAGTTTATTGATTTTAGTGGCTTACATAACAAACAATAAGACGAGACGATGTAGAAAATTGTACTCTTAAGTAACAGGTAACTTCGCATGGTGCACCTCTGGAGCTACTGTCTGTCCCAAGCCCGGATAAAGGAGGAGAGTTGGGGATAGGGTTAGCGAACCCATACTATAGAAAACTAACTTGCTAAAGAAACGCTAACCTGAAAAAATAATTTAAACCACTTCAAATCTGCCCTGGGAGTTGGAAGGTCTTCATTTAGAAGAGTTATGACGTCTTATGATGAAAGCAGAGTTCCTTCGGAAGTCACGAGGCTGATGCCTCCTTTGACAATTAGAGCAACCATTAATTTAGATACACAAAATGTTCGTACAATGTGGGAGACCGGGATAGTCATCCAAGTTGCTGCAAAAATGAAAAGATGCAGCCTGGAGGTGCTTGGAATCAGTGAAACAGATTCGACTCAGGTTGGACAATAAAGGCTGCTGAAACAACAGGTAGAGTGGATAGTTGTTAATGGTCTATGTAAATTTACTTTAATTCAGTTCATTTGTCGTTTCTATGATCAAATCAGAAAAATATACACTTCCAGTGGTCGAAAGTTCAGACGAGAAATCCATTGTCTTATTCATTGTATTACTGAGTTTGTGATAAGCTTGTAACGTTTTATTCGTGATATAATTTTAATTATGTAGAACTTATACAAATTTTCATATAATGTTTTTTTAAATAAATTTCTCCTTATAAATAGTATTCTTTTCATTTCAACTTAGATTTATCAACATTGATACGATGGTGTTGTGGAGACTTTCGGAGTTTACGCTTTACAACATAAACTGACTCTACTGAAAATCATGTACTTATTATCGATTAATTACAAAAGCTAATTACTGGGGTTTTATTGATTGACAAATGGAATTCAGCGAACTCAGATATAATGCAGTTACACACAAACGACATTAGAATATGGTAAGTTCTTATTATTAACTGTGAAGTGAATAAAGTTAGTACGTTAACCGCTGGGTGCCAACTCAGTGGTTTGAAGGTAAAAAATTCCAAACGATGCCTGGAAGGCCTGCGTTAGGTTCCCAATGGGGGTATTAGATACTCACTGGTGAGTTATCACATTCTAAGATGAATATGCTGTCTAGGATCTCCTTGCTTTCAACATTTTTTGACCATGATCATTTCAAGATACAAAATTCGAAACATTTTAATGAGTTGAAACATGTAATATAAGTCATTGGCTAAACTAAGAAAACATTTATTTTTGTCAGTCTGCATTACAATTTTTGTTTATCATCACTTTACCAGTGATTTAAATAGATATGAAAATATTATTCACAGGGGAATGCCAATTATCGTCCATTAGTTTAAATAATTTCTAGAAAATGATATAAAACATTATGAATTAATATGAATAGGTAAGCGTTATATTATATAGACAAAAATGTTTCTTTGGTTTTAATGAAAACAGATACTTTGTTTTTAAAAATTGAATTTTTGAGTCGATTTGAGCAAGATCATCTTCGAAAACCTGGAAGCACTGGACGGTCCTTTTGTCCTAGTATAGGATGCCTAAGTAGTGTGCATCCACAATCCAACATATGAGACTCGAACCCAGTACCTTCAATCTCGTGTGCGAACACTTAACCCTTAGACCACTTAACGATGTTAATGTGTAACTTTAATCGATTCAAGATCTTACGCAACTCTTGTTTCTAGCATGTTTTTTATCATTACTGTATACGGTAAAAATAACCATAAATAGAAAACTAATATATATTACAGGCATAAGTGAAATTCAAGCGACTAGAATTCATGTGTCATGCGAATGAATTGGATTGCATTTTTTTTCGTAACTAGTTTGTTAGTTTTAACATACACGTATAAAATAACATTCTGATACATTAAAGGGAAAACAATACAGTGTATGTGTGTTGTATTAAAGAAATTTCATGGGACTAATGTCTCAAAGACATAACTTCATATAAATCCACATAGACAGAAGTAAAGAAGTTTTAAACGTATTGTTAATCCTTAAATTAAATATTATAATAAATAAATGCAAAATAAGAAACTTTATATAGATACATACTCAAAGTATCTATTCATCAATTTAATTCCAATGGCTAATCATATGATACAAATTGACTATTGAGCAAGTTCTGAGAATCTATGTTATTTGCATCAAGATCAAGTTTGTTATATTAAAGAAATCTATTTTTTTATAAATCAAAAAATGAGACTGATTGTTTCACTTTGATTGTTATTACTAGTTCGATTTCTTTTTTTAAAATTATTTTAAATACTGACTGTAAACTACTTTTAGTTATAAGTAGTATTTGTCAATATTGTAATTTAGGATTTCTATGATATTTTGAGATGAAAAGTCATGTAATTTTTAATGTATCTTTTTTGTCTTATAGTTTGTTTGGGGATCTCATTTTACTTTTGTAAAGACTGAAGAATATAACTCTAGGCTGGAAAAGTGATAAATAAAAATACATTTCTAAGGTCTAATTACATAAATAACAACCACATAGAGATAAATTAACTTCTTTGTCATATGAGTAGTGATCATAAACTATGTATTTGAGGATTGGTGTTACTATCTGCTATAAAAAGAATGATTTGTAGTTAACGTTATGACAAAATAGAAAATCAAGTAAAATATGGGATTTCATTAGGTAGTTTTTAATGTCACCGGTTTCCCTTTTTTAATATTTTCTTAAAATACTTTTTAAACCTTGTGAAATAAGTCAGTTTGTTTCATTGTATATTATATAAATAAAGAAGGGAATTGTGACTGATTGTACTTTATTTTCTTTTAGAAAATTCATTGTATCTTATAGTGTCCTAGTGGCGAATAAATATGATAATCATTAAGTAAATATAATGTCGACTATGCTTGTTAATTTTGACAGTTGAACTCACGAGTCGATCTAAACTGGAATATCATTCAAAACCTGGAAACACTAGAAGGCCGTTTTGTCTTAGTGAATTCACGATCCCAGACGCGTGACTCGAATCCAGTACCTTTGGTCTCGTACGCGAATGCTTAACCCTTTAGACCACTGAGCTGGCATCCGACTGTGTTAGTGTCTAACTTCAATTAATCCATGATTTTGCATAATGCTTCATTAATTTTCTGAGGTGGATAACTGTCTTACACCCGATACGAACTGGAATCCACTGGTCGCTGCTTCTCACGAGGACTCAAGATGTTACATCTTGAGACGATTCACTAATGAGTATGTGATTGCTAAAAGTATAACGAATTGTAAAGATTGTAGTATTTGAATGTACACTTTTCTTATTAAGAAATACTGGTATTACCAATTACAAAGTCACCTTAACCGATAAAATATCTATTGAACTGTTGGATACGTACTACTGAAGATTCCTAAATTAGGACGAAACAGCCGTCTAATGTTTCCAGTCTTTCAATGATTGTCTAGCTTAGATCAAATCATTATTTTAGCAGTAAAAATACCACATTCTTCACAAATCCCCATACTGATAAAATTTAAATATATTTTTGAAAACATTTCACTTCTACTGAATGAACATTAGCAAGCAGATTCTAAGCAGGGAATTATTGATTTTTAGTTATACATCTCATGAGATTGTTCTATTGATTTTTGTTAAAAAAAGTATCCTTATTTATTTTTGGTTAAATTAAGAATTAGTTAGATAATTAAATTATTCTGAATGGTTTCTATAAGTTCCCACTTATAATGTGTATAAGTAAATCAAATTGATTATTCGTTTGAATGGGTTGGAAAATATTGATCGATAGCCTATACTCCATCGGGAGTAACATGCGTAACAAAGTAAGTAAGTAAGTAAATAAATCGTTTGATAGAAATCAATATCCAGTTTTCAATCATTTACTTAAGAGATTTAATATTGAATTCATTAATTTTAAGATTCAGTAATTAACAAAATACAAAAAAATCGAATAAAGTATGTCATTTAGTTCTTTTTTATCAGTGGAGAATAACAAATACTTCACTGAAAATACTTTAGTAACAAATTATCAAATCTATTAAAATGTAATGATCATTTAAATTTAAAATACCCCCCCCCCTAAAGATTACCATCAATCAATCAATCATCACAATGAATTCAATGAATTTAAGTAACAAAAAGATGTATATTACTATTTACTTACGTATCTGTTATTTTACAACATATTTGTTTCCCTAATGGTCCACAACAATATTTCATATCTTCTGATTGATTAGGTTGTGGACAATAGAATTTTCCAGAATTGATTAAAATAATTTTTTTATTCGTAATATTACTTTTATTATTATTATTATGAATATTTTGATTGTCAAATTTATTTAAATATAACCATTTTTGTTTTGATTCATTTATACACCATATTACTCTACCAATAACTGGTGTAAGATTATCTTTCCATAAATTATTCAATTCATTTGTTATTAATTTATTATAATAAGTAGTATTATTATATTTTGTTAAAGATAATGATTGATTCATTTCATTCATTTCTTGTATTGGTAAACATTTTACAAATATAATATATAATTTAATAAATAATAAAATATAATTAAATTTATTAAAATATATAATGAACATTTTAATGAAATTCATTAACATATAATATTTCATTATAATGATAATTATTTATTGATTTATTATATATATACATATTATGTTATGTAATTATAATAAGTAATTAGATGACAGAAACAAGTAGCCAAGAGATTCAAGCAGATCACTAGTACATTTAAATAATAAATAATTCAATAAATATTTTACATGTTTTATTCTATTCATTGAATATTTATAGAAATGATTCCTTTAACTCATAGAATATATGAGTAGTATTAGTTTTTGTTTTCTTCTTCTTCTTATTCTTATTATTATATTTTATTGTTTAATTTATTGTATTTTGATTGGTTCATTCTTAAATTACAAAAAAATAAATAAACAAATAATAATCTTTAATTTCATACAAACTTATTTTTGATTGGTCAATTTTTTCTTTACTTCTTCTTTTTCTTCTTCTTTACATGATTTTTGCCATTATTATTGTTATCAGTTGAGATACGGTTTCAATCTTTGTTTTTATGACAAATTTATATTCATGTTGTACAATAGAATATATATATATATATATATATATATATATATATATATATATATATATATATATATATATATCCGAAACATTTGTTAAAGTATTAGTTTTGTGAGCATATATGAACAAGGAATAGACTTGGTGATTTAATCGAAAGATTATGATAATATCAGATTATGTAATGTGAATAACAATAATAAAAGTTTATGTGTGTGTGTTATCAGTAGATGATGATGTAAACGAAGTAAAATGGTTAAAATGTTTTTGTTACGATAATCAAAGGTAATAGAGGCATCAAATAAAGTAGAATGATATCAGAAACAATTATGATTTAAACCACTGGGATATGAGAAGTAACTGATGAGAATGAGAGATATTTTCGGGTATGAAATATGATAATAATAGTATAAAGCCAAGATAATGGTAAGGATAAGACGCACCTTTTTTGTGCGCTCAGCTCTGGCTTCAATTCATATATAGAAAGAGAATATGCTGTCCTTAAACGATTTTTAATTACATCAGAAGCTTAGTCACCTATAAATTCCAGATTCATATAAACATATTTCTTTGAAACGGAATTGCCGGATTCCCTACTCCGACATCTTTTTGATGTTCTTCACTATGATGCGGATAGGATAACCTTTTTCAGATAACATTTTTGTGAGTTATGTAAACTCTTCGTCAATGATTTTAGTACTATATATATGATGCATTTGGTAACACAATGGGTGAATAAGATTCCTCTTTGTGTTTAATAAAGCCAGTTATAGAAGTTGGTCAGTTTGATGTTCCATGTTTGCTTTTTGTAAATGGACCTTCTTAAGTATTACTGTTATTTTCCTTCCCAGTTGCAACAATCAAGTCATAAGATAAATACATCAATCACTGATTTTAATTATTTAACGTTTAGTGTAAACAATAATCCATATTCCCTTTTTATAAACATTAACCTTATTCATATTGACTTATCTCGTCAATTTTCTCTCAAGAGTTTGTAAGTAGGCTTGAATTAGAACTGTTCAGTTTGTTTTTATTCGTATTTTACAAAACTATGTGTCAATAGAATTTTTAGATTGTAACATGATTTTCGTTTCACTACTATTTAAATACATAACACAATATTCGTTAGATTAAATACTTTAACTAATTCACTTGATTTAAACAGGTGAGAAGATTCTCATAAGCTTAAATCAATGTGTCTATTGTTTTTGTTGGCAATAATCTATTGAAGATTTTAATAAAGGTGAAAATATGGTTTAGAAGATTTATTTATGTACATGTATGTATAGTGATGTATTGAAAATACTTGTATAGATGATTTAAACAAAGATTTGTTTCAGTTCCAAATCGGGAAACAAATCTTAGTTATCGCCTTTCGCAATTCTGCCACTTGTATATTACTTTTCGGAGCAGAAAATTTGAGTGATCCAGATTCATTTAAAATACTAGACTAACAAGAATAGGAGGCTAGAAATTTATATAAGTAATAAGATCGATTATGTTGTATGATTTACGTAATAAAATATATTCATATCCATTCAATATCCTTTCGCAGATCATCAGACAAGATAAAACATCAATTTACAAGTCAATCAGAATTTAGTTAGAGACTATTAAACACATCATAAAAGTAGTTATAAAATATGTAGAAGATATTGATGAAAACAGTTCTGTGTTATCGTTAGACTAGAACTTATAAGTGACTGAATATGACTTTATAGTTTTGTGCAGTTCCAGTCAATAATGTTCACTTTATTTAAAGTTAGAATTAATTATCAGAAGGGGTTTGTGGAAATTTTTAGAAATTTCACAGATTGAAATCATGAGTCAATTAAAGCTAGACCACCATGGAAAACCTGGAAGCACTGAACGGCCGTTCCTCAGCAATGCGCACCCACGATCCCGCACCCCGCAGTAATACAATGCTTTTGTTTCTGTAGCAAACCTAAATACTACCTAATAATATGTATTATGAATACTGTACAAGGTGTTTATGATACTTTAAATGGATTATACAAGTAATCTATTTATATCTACATAGAATCAAGCTTAAGCGCCATTTTAACCGTCTCTTCTCTATTCAGATTAATCAGTGAAACTATAAGAAATAATATTAAAAAGCTGGGTATGTAATCTTTACAGTCAAATAGATAGTGAATTTTCGAGTTTGATTAATAGTGTATATATTGAAATTGATGTAACAATTAATTATATTGACATAACACTATTGATTTGATGGGAAATATGTGTAGTTTTAGGTGATTTGCAATCTGACTTCAAAATGATCCATTGATACTGACGTAAGTAATATATATATATATATATATATATATATATATATATATATATATATATATATATATATATATATATATATATATATATATATATATATATATATATATATCCTATTTGCTTTCTAGATATTCCATCGACGTATCTCGTTAATAACAAAATGAGCATAAAATAGTTAATCTATAAACCGCATAGACTACTTAATCATCTGATTATATTACTATTTCTTCGCAATCAATTACATAATTATCAAAATTTATCTATTTCACTAACGATAGTATAAGCCTAAATATTTGAATTAAACATATAGGATAAAACGATTACGGCAATAAGGACTCTAAATCGGTACTCAAATCTAAACATTGTCACTTTTATTGATCGAAACATTGATTTTCTGTTGTGCTTTTGAAACTACGTTTTCGGTTAATAGAATAGGGGAATAAAATAGTCTTAGGGAATAGTTAAATCAAATTCATATGAAATAGTTCACTAATTATGATTCAAAAAGCGAAACAAAACAGTTACTAGTTTACAAACTAACATTGTGAACAATATTTGTGTTATGGATTGTATAAGAGAGAAGGTTGGCATGTTAGTAAACTGTTGTGAAGTGTTATAATTACAAAACTAAATTCAAAGAAAATAATCTATGCAAAATATTAAATGAATTAAAAAGTAAAATGATTTCATAGAATTAAAAAAAATAACAAGTCAAGCGATATGTAGGATTTTTCGGTGTAGTGCAAATTATATATTTAGATATTGCACATATACTTGGAAGTAGCTGACAAAAAACTCTAGAGCTAAGATGCTCGCTATTCGATACTCGTCAACAATACATATAGTACTCTCTTTTAATCAGTGTTTATTGAATTGATATCTTGTTTATTTTTACTTATCTAGTTTACTGATTGATTCATAAATTTTGATCACGTTTCCCAGTTATTAGTTTGAATTGATGATTTAAATTAATCGCCAGTGTTAAAGTATATGTATCTTTTAAAATTAGAGAATAGTTATTTTCATTCAAGTTGAATATGTGCTTAAAATGACTGATCAATTGTAGTCTTTAATATCAATGTTAAGGAGATGTGATAATTTACTTTTGATGAAGGTGCAATTTTTGGCGGTAGCTTAAATTTACAGAAAGTTAGATGAGTTTTAGAGGTTTATTTTGGGATGAATGAATTTGTAACTTTCAAATAATTAAGCCATCTTTACACTTAGCACATGAAATTGTCTAATTTAATTGTTTTTATGGAATATATGCTGTTGAGTAGTAACGTATATGTTTGGTGAAAGTCGTCCAAAGCGGTGAAATTATAAGCTACATCTAATATGATAGAAGAAATACTATGACTTAAATGATGATTGTTTTTGATATATGGAACTTAGAATAACAAGTGAAGTAGCTACAACGTACTTGAATCCGTATTATTGTACGAACCTTCCAAACATAATTAACTAATACCTTACAGTGAAATTTCATTCTTTTACTATTGTTTGATGTGACTGAATAAAAATGAGTGGCAAATTGTACATTAGTTCATATAATCTTGTTCATTTATGATTTATAAGATTAATGGGTTAGTTACAGTTATATCAATAAAGATAATTGGTTAACTGATTGCCAAATTATTTTCCCTTAACAAGTAATTCAAACAAATATAAACTATCAAAATGTTTGAGCTGGATGGTTTGGTCGTGGAGCTTTCATCGTTCTTCTGAACGACATCATCAGCACAAACTTCAAAATTTTTAAATAAATGATTACATACACAAAAGAAAGTTTATTGATACCGTCATGATATGTGCTGAGAGGTAAAACATTAACGGTCTACATATAATATTTAACAAATTCTACGGATTCACATAATTCATTTTGAAAAAAAGTGTAAATTCAAAGGTTTCATTTCTGTATTCTTATCTTACATCATATGATGGTTATTCCTTTCTTTGGGGGGGGGGACACACGCAAATATAATGTGTTAGTAGTTAGGTTTTAACGTTTTGTGTTAACAACAACAAAAAAGTTGATTCATATCCTCAACAACTAAACATTTAAAAAAAACTAATAAAGCAGCGTACTCAAGGTATTTCAGTATCCAATGGTTGAATTGTTAGAAACTGCTTAGTCTTTGCAGATAAAAATCGTAAATATATTCTGGTTGGTTCGTTATAATATACATTTCCATTCAGT